ACAGACAGATGATGGACGGTCTCACGGACGGACTCACGGAAAGACGCATGGACAGACGGACGGATGGACTCACGGACGGACTCACTGATGGATACACGGACAGACGGACGGACACATGGATAGACGCACGAATGATCAAGCGGGCGGACGGAAGCAAGAACGAACGGGCTGACGGACGCTTCGCCCCACTGATCATCATTCACTCCATGGATATGCTGTGATTTTTTGTTTCTATTGTGTACGCAAACATAGCAGAGCAAACCTCCGTGTGACTGTAAACTAATGCAATCCCTCCAAAGGATGAAATTACGGCAGCATTATTTCTAAACCTGGCTTTTCGATTGCATCGACAAGATATCTTTTCCTTTGATAAGAATATCGGTGACAGAATAAAAAGAGATGTTCCATTGTTTTTATTTTAATTTCTTATTTTTTTTGCAAAAGGTCCTAAAGATGATTTGGTTAATGAGTCTGCCATCCGATTCAGATAAATCGCGCGGTTATTGTTTCTATGTGGATGAATCAGTGTATCTAGCAGTCATCGTCATCTTCTTCGACCTCCTTTTATTTGAAACGAGCTCTGGTGCACGTGCCTTGTTCTTCGTGCTGGCAGGTATCAAAATATAGAAGAGTAAAAATAGTTTCTTCTGCTCCTAGTATGGGTCCGTGCAGTTCTCATATTTTTTCGTCCGCTACTCGCGCTTCGCCCTAGCGGACACAACCTCCGTCCCTGTAATGAAATACGTCAGATCGATCCAGTCTCAATCTTTGATAGAAACCCGCACGTCAATGCAATTGATTGGACGTCCTGTCTTTGATCTGTCTCAGGTGAAACACTGAATTGTTCTGAATCTTGTTTCTCATCTCTGGGTCGGAATACATCCACCTAAAACGCAATCTTTATTCACATTACATCGATTAAAAAAGAAAACAAAAAAACTTGACAGGCCTCTTCTCACAGCCAACTAGGTGACCAGGCCGAAAACGGCTCAGAGGAGGCCCATGACTTCCGATGAGAGCATAGACGTTGACTGAAGAAACATTCATTCGTGCTGAAGACTTGGATGACGACGACGACGACGACGGTGATGATGATGATGATGATGATGATGATGATGATGATGATGAATGGCCCCCACCCACAAAAGAGATGGGCCAAGAACTTGGTGGCATGATACTCAAAGCACTGAAACTAAAACGAATATCAAAAATCAGTTTAGAGATATAATTGAGAGGAAATAAAAATGCTTACTGAGCAAGGGTTCAAACCATCTATGCTTCGTGATTAAAATTACTACGATTCAGAGACTAAGAATCTCATTAAGTGAGGATACACATACATGGGGATCTTTATATTGCTTTGATGATGATGATGATGATGATGATGATGATGATCCTTTAGCTTTGCTGGCATTCGCCCACAAAGGGGGATCGGCCAAGAACCGGGCGGCAGGATCATCAAGTGAGTTAGTTACGAGTCAGGCATTCAGGTAGTCTCGAAGCCGTAAATAATAATAACAATAGACTATCAAGGTAATCTCTTTGCTGCCATTATGTACGCACTCACGGCAGAGTAAACCTCCCTGTGGCTATAAGCTAGTGTAATCCCTCCGAAGAATAATGTTACTTCCACGTTTATTTTTAAACCGAGCTTCTCAATTGGTTCGAACACGTATCTTTTTCTTTGATAAGAATATCGTTGACATGTAGTCAAACACAGTAGAGGAAAGACGAAAGAGATATTTTGCTTTTTTTCCTTCTCAGTAGACTATATTTATCCCCCCCGGCCCAAAGCCAGGAAGCTTTCTGTTTTTTTATTGGTGGGGGTGGAGAGAACTCGTCAAAAACATTGAAAAACACCTATTTTTATTACCTGTTCTCGGTAAAACAACCCCTTCATCCGAATTTTGGGGAGGACGCGTCTCTCATATTCATAGGGTGGTTTTGGGATATTAAACCACACATATCAATTATGGAAGAAGGTTGCCTAGGGCCACAACGAACACGTACCCCCCCTCCCCGAAATTTTTCTCACCATGGCATATGGAGCGCGAAATGGTCATTTCGGAGAGGTTCTCCCCCACACACACACACACACACACACACACACACACACACACACACACACACACACACACACACACACACACACACACACACACACACACACACACACACACACACACACACACACACACACACACACACACACTGAAAAACATTTGTGACTACGACGCCATTGCACCGTTGCAGTTCGTCCTTTTCTGTTCTGAGCCTGTCCTACTCTCATTACTACCTCCAAGATGAGCCTACTTCTAACGAAGCAACAATGTCATGTAATAAGACGTGACCCCGTGATGTCATAGTGACGTCTAGATGACATCTGAATTTTGTGGCCTGTGACATCGTGATAATATCATAGAGAGACGCCAGCCCATGAGGGTAAGTTTCGCTTAGATAGATGATTGCGATAGACAGATGATTTGAACTCCTGAGGTGCACGACTCAATGCGCAGCGGGCCGCACCCACGTTGGAATAACAAGCCAAGCACGACCGTCGCATCAAGGACCCTCCGGACAGCCGACAGTTTATCCCTGGTATCGGGGTTCTTAATAGCGGATAGCCCCTTGTCTTCATTGGATTGGTTCGTGCCCCGCAACGAGGGGCAACGCCAGAGCGTGCGATCTAGGCTAGCGAATTCGTTTCAGTGCCTGCAAGAGCTCTTGGGATAAATGTCGGAACAACTTTTATGGAATGAAGCCCGGCTGGTATATGAACCCGTCTCCAGATAGCCTTAGAGTCAAAGCCTGCGCCTGATTGAACTTCTTGTTAGGAACGGGAAAGTCTCTCATGCCGGAAACAAAGTGCTGTGTAATTTCGCTATAAGTGGTGAGTCGATCTCTGTTCACCACAAATGCGGGCCGGCGGGGGAGTTCTCCGTGCTCGCAAAAAGTGAGAGCTCGCGCCTTGGTGTGGGCCAGCTCGTTCAGGTTTGTGGGGTCTTCCCTGATGAATCCCATGTGGGCTTAGCTTCTTTTTTTTTTCCGAAACCTGTCCTTGACTTTGTAGGTATCAAAAATACACTTGCGAAATTGCTTCGTGTATACAGTTCGAAAGTGAGCGGTGGTAACCTTCAGAGAGAGAGAGAGCTTTATTTTAATGGGAAGCTGGAGAGTTTTGCCTGGTTTTTCACCTCACAGGCTACTCCAGTTGCCGGGTGATGACAATTATGTATACAATGATAAACACACAACACATACAGTCACATACACGCATAACAGTCACATAACACATGAAGTCACTCACACGCACTGCACTATTTACAACGTTTCGTTCGAGCCTGTGACCTGTTATAAGAATGTCAGTAGTGCTTTTCTATAATCTAACGCACTGGAGGTGTTCCGCCTTAAGCCTAGAATATTTTTCATCTTCAAGTTTATGTCCTGTTGTATTTTTAAGGCCATCTTCAGAGACTGTCATTCTGATGCGCATTTCGTACACTCATATATAGAGGACATGATTGATGTCTTCAGCAACGTTACATTGGGCACAAAATGCTGAGTCCTGAAGCAATACGTACATGCAATGTTTAATCGGGTGCGGTGTAAACACGTTTCATCTTGCCTGTTGAGATTTCGCGGCATCCTGAAGTCACACGATGGATCGATCTTGTACAGAGGCCCATACTGTTGGCTAGAATCTGTCCAGAGGGATCGCTGGAGGCGCCAGGCGTGTGCCGACACTAGCGTTGCTGAGTCTTGCCTCGAGAAAGATATCTCGACGATTCCTGCTGAAGTGTCACGTCCAGCTTTGGCAGCGTCATCAGCCCGACGTTGTCTTGTATTCCGCAGTGGGCAGGTATCCACTGCAGAACAATACGATGATGGCAGTCACGGGCTTTCTCGCATAGGCGTTCATTCATCCAGTGGTCAAAATCGAATGGTCTACCAGGGCTGAGGACTATTTCACGCAGGTGGTGAAGCTGCTGTTGAAAAGTGCGGCGATGCGAGTTTGTTGGTGCGTCCTGATTAGCTTGTAGTTAATCCTTGGAAAAGCAGAGGACCTTGAAATAGAGAGACAATGTACACACGGGAGAACTTACCGCTGGGTGCTGGGTGTCCGTACTTCTCTATTCCACTGATGGAAGCAAATGCGTACCATCTCATACGGATGTGCCAGCGGTTACAGTCGGAACGCTCCCGTCAACTCCTACAAGCTGGTCTTCTATGCAGTGACACGACCCGTTATGACTGCTGAATGCAGGACAACAGATTTCATAAGACGCCGCGTCACTTCACACACAGCACTGGCTTATAACAGTGCACGTATAATACACATATACAAAAAAATAGTATGCTTTAAAGTCAACTCTGTGTCGCAATAAAAAATACACAGGGTTGCTTCTTACAACAATAGGTTTAATTCCTTGATTGTTCCATAGGTTACGTGACGCCGATGTCACCGACGGTCACTCTGCGTTTTATGAGGCACTTACGTGTTTAAAAACGTTTTTTTTTTTTTCTTTTCCTGACCCGGCCGTACGCCCACCTGGTTACTTGTTAAGGAAAGCGAATAGGCGCTGTTCAAAGTGCCCTCCAAATCAAGGAATGCGCTCCCAGCTCCTTTTGTATAACGTTATGTCTGTTGGGAGCAAGGTATTCTACATCTCGTTAGAGATTGTTGAGCGGTCCTGCGACCAGCCGCATGCTGTTGTGACTATCAAGCTTTTTAAATGAAGTGAGGCTTGTTTCATCCTGCTTGTGTATTGTTCGAGAGCATTTGACACTTGTAGTTTAAGCATGTGAAAACAAGTTTGGCCAGTATTGTTAGCGATGTTTCGCCTTCTTTTGATATACGTGCATTCAGACCATCGCATGCGCTGTAATGATTTTGTTTTTCACTTGGTGTATTTACATGTACCCAAACTTGGGAACAATTGTCGCCACCAGTACCTAGCTATTTAGCCTAACATTGTATCATGTAGACTTTTTTTTGCGGTCGAACTAACTGGTGATTTTTATATTTAGTACATTTTGTATTTTTCATCATCTAGCGCAGTGGTCGGCTACCTACGGCCAGTGGAATACTATTATGCCTCCCGCAAGACGTCAGAACATCCTTACGCCACTTCCTACTGACCGATGAGCAGCGGTTAACTAACCCATGAACGCTCCTACGACTTGCTGCGTCTGTCGGTGAGTAACCTTGATGTATATATTTGAGAGTTCCCAGCAAAAGTCTCATTGAAAGAGCATTTCTGCATATTATAAACCTTCGTTGCAACACAGCCTCAGTGATCCTTCATAAATTGTCGCAATCAGCACTCGAAGCATACGTTCAGGACGTTTGGCTGCATCTAAATCGATATTTCGCTATCGATACGTCCGGGCTAACTCATATCGTCCTGCGTGAAACCCTAGTATCTATCATTATCAGCGTCGCCAGGTACTGGCCCATCAATGTTCGGTACGTCGACGAAGCTGACGCTTCTCTGGTCTTCTGGCGTAGACTCTGTCTCGAAGAGCATCACGGTGTTTTCTTCCGGATGTGGCCGGAGCAGCACACCGGGAACGTATAGGGTCACCTGCAATGGATTTGAAGAAGGTGCAGGTCACAATTTTCAGCTGCAAAAGCATGGACAAATTAAGGAGATGCGTAGGTGCGCGCGTTACCTTGCAGATGCGTGGAGGAACTATCGCTGATTCCATAGGGAAGTATCGTGGTGTAGTGAGAATTTAGCAACTGTACTTGCTGTACACATCCTATGTTAGTTTCAAGCGGCTAACGTTACGTGCACAGTCGGTTAGTTTCCTTGCGACATGGTGGAGACATGCATTGAGAACCGAAGCCAGGCTGGCAAGTTAGAAGGCCTTGCGCACGTGGCTCTCTTACGCGATCTTGAAGGCAAATCTCAAGTGTCCTCCGGGATTTCAATGCTCTCGCATTAATAAATATATAGATGAATAAATAAATAAATAAGCGTAGTTCACTTTCACTGAAACTTACTTGTGGCCCGATGCTAGGCCAGTATCGCCCGAGGTTAAAGCCGTTGACGAAGGCGACGCCTTTTCCCCAACCCGTCGGGTCAAGGAAAGTGTCCAACGTATTTTGTCCTTCTGGCAGCACGAACTTTCCGAAGAATGCACCGGGAGCCGAACAATTCTGCTCGGTGTTCGGCGTGTTAAAGGCCTCTGCCAGCTGCGTCACCGCATCCGACTTGTCCAAAGGCAGTGGTTCCATGGTCCAGCCAGAGAGGACGTGGTTGTCCAGGGTGACGTTTTCGATTATTCCCTGCGAAAGCGGTACCCGAGAAGCGTGTCATTTAAGTTGTATTGAATTTAGCTAGTGCATATTGACCATTATGCATTGATTAATAGGTCAGTTTTCAAGCGATATTCCAAATTAGGTGTCCCAGAAATCGGGTGTCCACTGTAAAGATGAGGGAACGTGCAAATTACTACTGACATAGCTGTGCCTTGTGTAGAAGCACATGAGGAAGGTCATGTCGGACTACTCGACTATATAACGTACGATTTTGAAACCTTGGACAGTGTGCTTTAAGATGCAAAAGTCAAGTGTGCCCATGCTGGTGCCATCTCAGCATTGCTGTTTCGTGACGCCATGCTTCTGTGCTGACCCCTTTAAAAAAGTAAATCAATAATTTATACTTGGCCAATCCTATATAAATAGACCCTTAAGAATGTAGCCCCCGCGGTAGACCCTAGCGGACATGGGCGATGGAGACATGGTATGAAAAGAATGCGTTGCTGGGTTAGTGGTATGACAATCTCCATTTTCAAAAAATATGTTCTGCAGACAGGCGCCTACGGGCAGCAAATATCAATAATGAGTCAACAACTGATAAAGTCAGACAAAGCGTACATCATGAGTGTCATGCGAACGTCTATAGAGAGCTTTATCGTGATAAATTTTGTGGCGAAAGGCACCGCGTATCACGGTATGCCAAGTTATTCCAGGTTTCTGTCTAAGCAGGCACTGCCACAGAATACTTCTTTCGGGACTCTTGACGCAGTTCAAAATCCAGGGCTTTTGTTTTAAAGCCTGCTACCGAGAACAATTTACTGTTTAACACAAAAGTAATAAAGTTCATTTCTTCAATTCTGCAGTAGCGATAGTTTAAAGCCAGGAAAGTCACATCAACAACAGATGAATGTCTGCGTTGTGAATGTTCGCCGTAAACTTAATGAGCTTTCCACTTCATGAATCAAGGTATTAATGTTTTTAAAGGCTGCTTAACAAACTAAAAACCATCAGCGTCTATTTAACAAAAGCATTTCCCCTAAGTTTCGTGCACATGCATTTCGCCGAAATGCAATGCTGCATTAATTTTATCTAAACCACTCTGCACTTTGATGACCGGAACCAACGCGATCGGCAAGGCTCTTCACTTCATACCTTCATGTCACGATTTCCTGGTCCGTAATTGATCCTTCCCGTGTTTTCCACCAGAATAGTAATGTTCTGGCCACTCTGAACCACCACAGGCACGCTGTACACCAGCTGATCAGTGCTCACCACAGCCTTCGTCTGGGCAGTGAACACGTATCCCCTGTTCTTAATGCCTGGGACACCCAAATTAGCCGGACTCGATGGTCGAAATGACACCCGTGTCGTATACACCACGTAACCGAATGCGTGACCGAGCTCCTCGAACGACAGTGGTCGGTGGGAAGACACTGGGGTGACGTAACCTTTGGATCGCAGGAAACTACAGATAGCATCGAGTGTAGCGCACGAGTTCAGATTCACGGCACCGATCTTCAACTTGAGTGCAGGAACGGGTAGCGTTCCATTCGGAAGCGGCATGTAGCGACCTACAACTTCCCTTATCTTGAAGTAGGTGTCGCTAGGGTCGCCGGCTTCTGTCAGAGGCGCTCCATAGTCGTAACTGGTTGGCTGCGGTGGCGGATTGGCCCCGTTCATGAATCCGAAGTTTGTTCCTCCGTGAAACATGTAAAAGTTGACTGACGCGTTTCGCTGTAGTATCTTCTCGAAGGTCTTCATCACAAGAGCCTGGTCCACTTTGGCGTGAGGCTGGCCCCAGTGGTCTAGCCATCCGGGATAATACTCCGTCACTACAAGCGGACCTTGTTTCATGGCTCTCCTTATGGCAGCGAACTTGGCGTCCACGTCTACGTTCGCACCGAAGTCGGCGGTCACTAGCGGCCCTTCGACGCTGTCGCACCTGTAGGCGGCGTCGCCGGGAGCGTCGGTCCTAAACAAAACGATGTCCTCACCGAGGTATCTTCGCGTAATGTTGACGAGGTGTCGCATGTAATCCTTGTCACAGGCGATGTACTGACCGTACTCGTTTTCCACCTGCACCGTGATGATTGGGCCGCCGTTCTTATAAAGGTACGGCTCGATCATCGGAAGCAGTACGCCGAAAAACTTGTCCACGCGAGAGAGGTAGGAAGGGTCCGAAGACCTGTACTTCATGTTTGGGTTCAACCTCAGGAGCCAGTATGGCAAACCACCGTTGTCTCTCTCAGCGCATATGTACGGGCCCGGTCTGAAGATCACGAACAAGCCGACTTTCTTCGCTATGTCCAGGAAGGTCTTCAGGTCGTAGTCGCCGTCGAAGTAGAACTTTCCGGGTTCTGGTTCGTGGTTGCTCCATTCCACGTACGTTTGAAGCGCGTTGAGGCCTCCTAGTCTCATCTTTTCCATGCGGTCTTGCCAGTAAGCCCTGGGAACGCGGAAGTAGTGCAGGGAGCCTGAAATGTAGCGGAAGGGCTGGCCGTCCTTGAGGAACTGGTTGTTCGCATAGTCAACGGTGAATGACTGGTTGTTGGAGTAGCAGTTGGAGCACGCTACCAGCGATGTTGCGAGCCACACGAGTACGGCGAGACGAGCCATGCCGGCGGGCGCTGATCTCGCGCTGATTGCATTCGGCTCGGTCGAGCCCTCCGCTTGCAATGTGAGATGGGCGTCTCTACTTATCAGTGCCGCAAGCGTAGCGCTAGGACGTGGTAGGCGAGTTGTGAAAAGCGTCGCGAAAGATAGTGCGCGCGGCACCGGAGTCTGATCGCGGAAAGAAATGTCGAAAATACTGATATCATTGTTGAGATGGGGTATTGAAAAGCAACTTATTGTTGCAAATGGTGATAAGTATAGCTTGACACGTATAGAGTATTCTGAAAGTACATTTCAGACAAGTCACCTTAGACCAAGTTCACGTTACCTGAACAGTGATAATGGGATGGAGTATGTAAGGCAAAATTTGATCCTAGTAATGGTGCTTCACGTTTAGATGGCTGGAACTCATGTTCCGCAGTAGTCTTACCTTATATGTAGATTCTTAATAAATAAATTGAGTCTCTACACAGATTGCAGCGAGATAATAATACGTAACGACTGTAATAAGGCCGCTATGTGGTACCAGGTTACTTTGTATTATATAGGATGATAGCCACCATAGGATACTCTGGTGGCAACTGTGACGTGTAATTCACCTGTAGGGGGAGCCCTTTTGTATGAACAGAAATCAAGGCTTGTAGGTCAACATTTGCACTTACGCTCATAGTCTGTTAGTTACCGGTATGCTGGTCAATGTCTTGATTTCCTCGAAGTAATGTGTGTTTGTGCGCAGTGTCATTTCTGTCGTCAAGAGGGACTCAAACAGTTTTATGCGTCCGTGGAATCTCACCACATGTAACAATGGTTTGGCTAAAATCACGCGAGGATGATTTCTACATCATTTTCAAGCATTATTCTCCACGCGCCACAGTGGTCTAGTTTCTAAGGCACTTGATTGTTCACCCGCAGGTCGTGGGATCGAATCCCGGCCGTGGCGTCAGCCTTTTCGATGGAGGCGAAAATGCTTGAGGCTGGTTTGCTTATACTTAGGCGCACGTTAACAAACCCCGGGTGGTTGATATTTCCGGAGCCCTCCACAACCACGTCTTTCATAATCATATCGTGGTTTCGGTACGTTAAGCCCTAACAGTTACTATCTATATTAAGCATCGTTCCCTCAACATGCACTCTAGGAAGAAATCGAGTGCCTAGGCAGCATTTGCGGTGGTAAGGTACTACCTTGACCTATCTTGTGTGCTTTCCTTGCGTTATCTTATCAACACGTCGCGAACGGTGCATGTTATCAGCTTGGCATAGCAGCCCTGAGAGGAAAGTGGCGAGAGCTGAGTTGACAGATTTCTATTGTTCGATGGGAGATTCACTCCCCAAATATACGGAGATTTTTTTAAGACTGCAGTAAGCTGCGTATGAACTGCACGAGACTTTTGTTTAGTCAAACAGCCTTGTTTAGAACAGCCTTGTTTAGAATGGATTAATTTGTTCTGCTTTAATATCACCCTGATTTAATACTGTCCGAGCAGTTGGTATTTGAAGTTAAGGCGTCTCTTCAAAACTGTACACATCGTATGCATGGTCCGTCTTCAAATGACGATTGATGTGCGTCATTTGAGGCACGGCAACTTATCTGTATAGCAAACTAGAAGCAACATATCTGTAGCAATCTATCCTAGCAGTTTATCTAAAGCAATCGAGAAGTAACTTCGGTAACCATGCATGTTTGCAAGAATATGTGCACTGTTCACGCACCTTTGTTGAAGGAGTTGTTTTACATTTCGACTTGTTGTACGTCATCGCTACCAAGGTCTTCAATTATGAGATGTAAAATTGACGATCGCCAGTTTTTAACACAAGCTACCAAATAAACTCGTACATATTTCCCAGAAAGAAAGCTTCTTGATTGACAAAAAATGAGAGTGATCTGTCTAATTTTTTTCAGTGCTTTCACTCTTCGAATATGTATAGCGATCACCTGAGTAGAACGTTGGTCCTGTGTTCGATGCCCTGATGAGGATGAACTTGTGATCAACTAAGAAGTCTTTTCACTTAGATTTAGAGCATAAGTAACCCGTCTCCTTTGAGAAAAACTGCATATACCATGTATTCTTGTTGCATGTAGACGGCCCGGCCCAGACTGAGTGCATTTCATCAAGCACTTTTTCACTTACCTTCGAATCGCACAAGCCACCGTTATTCCGTCCAGTATTTTCTACGAGAATTGTGATGTTCTGGCCGCGCGTCACTATGATGGGAGCGGTGAAAATCTTCTGGTCTTTGGCGAGGACTGCTTTCGTCACTGCTGTAAGCACGTAACCTCTGTCCCTTAAGCCAGGAACCGACAGTACTGCCGGACTGCGCGGCCGAAACTTGACAGTCGTGGTGTAAACGAGGTAGCCCCTATCCAGTCCCACCTCTTCGAAGGACATCGGGAACTGTGAAGACATCGTCTTCAGCACGTGGCGTGCTTGCCAAAAGATGAACATCTCGTCGAACGGCAAGCACCGGCGCAGTTCGACCAAACTAAGGTTCAGCTTTGGAGCCGGCTCTGGCAATGGCCCGTGCGGTACGGGTAGGTACCGTGCCGTGGTGTTCCTGATGGCGTAGTACGTGCCCGTCGGGTCACCGCTTTCGTTAAGGGGCGCTCCGAAGTCGTAGCTGGTGGGTTCCGGCAGTGGATCGGCTCCGTTCGCGAAGCCGAAGTTGGTGCCTCCGTGAAACATGTAAATGTTCACTGATGCGTTCAACTCCAGAATGGTCTCAAAGTTCTTGAGGAATTTCCGCTGGTCTACCTTCGCGTGCCGTCTGCCCCAGTTGTCAATCCATCCGGGATAGTACTCCGTGACAACCAGAGGTCCTTTCTTCATGTCCATGCGCATGACATGGAACATCTCTGATACGCTAACCGTAGAGTCGATGTCAGCCGTTACCAGCGGACCACTGGCGAGGTCGCATTGGTATGCCTTGTGGGTCGGGTAATCCGTAAAGAACAGAACGACGTCTTTTCCTAGGTGTCTCTTAAACATAGTGATAAGACCACGCAAGTAATTTGCGTCGCAGGGAAGGCCCGAATTTCCGTACTCGTTCTCTACTTGCACTGTGATGATGGGACCTCCGTTTTCATACATGTATGGCTGGACTCTGGGAAGAAGGACGTCCATCCACCTCGCCACCGCCTCCATGTACGATGCGCCTGAAGATCTGCACCTCACTTGCGGGTCCAGTCTTCGAAGCCAATAGGGCAAGCCTCCATTGTCCCTCTCCGAGCAGATGTAAGGCCCCGGTCGCAGTATGACCAGAAGACCGACGTCCGCGGCGGTGGCCAGGAACGCCTCCAGGTCGTAGCCAGCGTCGAAGTTGAACTTCCCGGGTTCTGGCTCATGGCCACTCCATTCGACGTACGTTTGCAGTGCGTTCAGTCCGGCCATTCTCATCTTGACCATGCGGTCCCGCCAGTATGATCGGTGAACGCGGAAGTAGTGCATGGAGCCGGAAACGTAGCGGAACGGCTGGCCGTCCTTGAGGAACTGGTTGTTGCCATAGTCGACGGTGAACGATCGGTGGCTCGAGTCGCAGTTAGTGCATGCGAGCATCCCCATTACAAGCGACGCGAGTGCAGACAAACGAGCCATGCTTGCGCGCGTTGGTATCGCGCCGATACCTTCCCTCTTGGCCGAACCCTCGGTTTGCAATCTGATCTCGATGTCTCTGCATCCCGTTCCATACATAGCAGGCGACAGTGCGGAGGCTTGCCAGACTTTTTTCAGCTGATACGTTCGCTCCAGGAAATAGTTCATTCTCGTTTCGTGTCCGTAATGTCATTTCTTTGGCTTTGCGCGGAATAATGAATGAGAAGTTCTTGTTGTTTACAGATAAACGTGTGTTGTTCTATCTGCCTAGTAACATTTCTTTGTCATTTATTTTCGTTGCGTTTTATTCGAAGCGTCGCAACGCTTGAAATGCGTGCTCGCAGCGACGAAACGTGCGGCTATGAGGCGTGCGGAGTTATACTGAACTTCTTGCGTGGGCTCCACACCGTTCGCTCGTATATACGAAACTTATCAATGGCCCGAACATAGGGCTAAGATGTGGTGCACAAAACGTGAAGAGCGTTGCGGTGTACAGATAGCCGGCATAGCACTTAAATCGGGGTAGAAGAGCGGTGTTGAAAATATTGATATCATTGCTCGCCAAACGCAAGCGTAATATTTCCCCAGAACCCACTTAGAGCGGGCTTTACCAGTCCATGTTGATTGTGCTATTTTTGAATTTATTATTTGCTACCGACACTGGCAAGTTCCCACCCTTTGTCGCGGAAACAGACTCCATGCAAAGCAGTCGGCGCGAGTAGCTGGTTAGCGATTTTTTTTTTGTTAGCATTGAGGATACTCTTACCAGGTGTATCGGTATCTTTTAATAAATTCATTGGTTGTGCGCATAAAATGGGCTTCCGAAGTGGGTCGACTACACTGCCATGTAAGTGGTATCTTATAGGCCGACGCGCGGCGTAAGATTACAGTGTACGTGCATGTTGCACTGTGGCCCGATAAAACGTGGGCCCTCGCGTGACAGCACAGCTAGGCGTCGCTTTCATCAAAGGAGAGCGGCGTATTCCACAGGCGTATCAAAAACTGTGAATAAGAGTGAGTGGTGTACACCAGAATATACTTCGCTAAGCTGTATAGGCGTTAAATATGTGATATCTATGACACCTTTATACAATGCAGAGCCAATACTGCAAACACAGCTCACTGTAGACATTATATAGGTGTTTTAGTGGCCAATACCAGTTTCGCTGCTGTATAGCGCTGCCTAACGAAAGATGTGTATACAACAAATATATACACTTGTTGCGCCCTGAGCAGACTAAAGCGAGCCGTCTTCGTCTTTTTTTTTCTTTCCTGTAAGTAAAATTGACGGAGAACGCAATCGGGGAAAACAAAGAGTTAGATGGAGTGATGTATTAGTTCGCAGAGATGAAATAGAATCCTCCCTCATAGGATACGGTAAACTGGAGATGATTGGGAGAAACACTCGTCTTACAAATCAAATGGAATCCTCCTCATAGGATAGGGTAAACTGGAGATGATTGGGAGGAACACTCGTTTTGCAGTGGACTATAACAGGCTGACAATGACGATTAGTCCCAAAAAAGTTGGTTTGTAGGAGACCAGCGTATATAACATGAAAGTATTGCTTTTTTTTGTCTAGGTCTCACTTCACAACCGTTTTCGTGAAACATCATCCTTAATTTCACGAATTCTTACACTGAGGAACGCCACATGGAGCCTTGACAAACACCTTTATTACATGACTGCAGTTCGGCAGCACTGCACTATACAGTTTGCTGAGTTAATGGTTAGTTTCCCACGGCTGGTCGGATCCAGCATGTGCAGGGGCACCCAAAGATCGCTTCACTGCCTACAGTACTCTTGCTCGGACGTGAAAAGGTTCAACCGTGACTCCTTCCCGTCGCTCCGTCCGGGATCGGTCCGTCGACGTTCGGCGTGTCCACAAATCGGACCGTGGGCGAATTCGATGGAACCAGCTCCGTCTCAAATAGGATGACCGTGTTTTCTTGCGGATGTGGTCGCAGTATCGATCCCGGCACGTACAGGGTCACCTGAGGCCCGATCGAGGGCCAATAGCGGCCGAGGTTGACGCCGTTGACGAAGACCACGCCTTTTCCCCAGCCGGTCGGGTCGAAGAAGGTGTCCAGTGGATCCTCACTTTGCGGTAAGGCGAATGTACCGTAGAAAAACGCTGGTGGTTGAATGTGGGTACCTTGATCAGCTGCGTGCCCGTGCTTGGAAAGAAACGAGTCAATGCAATTTATGTCTTCAGCTCGAACGAGTGGTACACCTTCCATTGACCAGTTGGTCATCACGGCGTGTCCGAGTGTCACCTCTGACGTTATGCCCTGTCAGGTTGGAAGAAAAAAAAGTATTATAGATATGTATAATGTAATATTTAGTTGCTATATTTAACATCTGGTTTCACTTATTGTATTATATTGAATTTCAGCTCCATGTCTGCTTCTAATGGGTTTTTGCATGTGTTTAGAACATATGCTCTTGATACAGAGTAAGATGACAAAACCAGACACATAACTGAACCGCACACCAATGGCGATGTCTCTGTATCTTTATAAAAAAAGTGTTTAACGAGTCAGAGTACTTTATTCTTTACCATAGGAGAGAGCTGTCCCTGAAGTGGTAGAGAAAGGGAAGTTTATTGTACACTTAACTTGTACATACACTGACGAAACATCGAAAACAAGTAAAGACAGTGTATACATCTTACAAATGAGCACAAAAATATAATTGATCGCTGGGTATCCAAATGTTACAAGTCAAAGGAAAATTAAAATGAATCAGGTTAATTACATTTTACAGGATCACACTTATACATGCGTACTAGAGTGGGCGCATGGCTAGTACGGGACAACTGGAAACTTCTGCTGTCTTTCTCTTACTTTAAAGAAACGTGTGTGCCATCGTCGAAGGAAAGCCTCTTCGCCATGCGTTTCCAGCTGCCGATCTAGGTAATTCCACACAATGAGCCGTATTTTGTTTTAGAAAAAAGGTTTAACGATTTACAGTACTTGATACTGTACTATGGGAGAGCTGAAAGCCGTCCCCGATACATTGATGGAAGTTTCTTTTTTAGGAGCGAAGCTCCTTAAGGCGTGGGCTGTGCGTCCCCTGTATGTAGCCACCTCTCGTTCAGTTCTTGCAGTGTTCACTAGATGGCGGTACTTGTAGCTGACGGCATTAAGTATTACGCTAGCCACCGCCCGATCTAAAGGGTACAGCCATATCCATCTGTCCATCCGTCCATCCGTCCGTCCATCCATCCATCCATCCATCCATCCATCCATCCATCCATCCATCCATCCGTCCGTCCATCCGTCCGTCCGTCCATCCAAAAGATGCAATATGTTATAAACTAGACGGCGGTACGTGTAGTTGATTATGAAAGATGCGAGGTGTTATAAAATAGGAATGATGCCACATATGGCGCGTGTCATCGTTCGATATAGTGCGGCGACGTACGCTAGGGGGAGCGTTGCAATAAAATCGAGTGGGCAAAATGTACGGAGGATTCATGGTTTACCAGGTTTACCTCCGGAGCTTCGCCCACTCATCATCATTCACTTCGTGGATATGGCGGCATTTTTTTAATCCTCCTTGAGTAGGAGCAGTGGGAGGCTGCTATGTGCAGCTCGGCGCCCGAGGTCCAGGCCCAGATCTTGGATTGGGCCAAAAGGGTAGCGGAGACCTACGCTGGGTAGGCTCCTCTGACACTCCACCACCGCACCTTTCCCTCTTGGGATGAATAAAGTTTTTCTCCTCCTCCTTGTTTAGAAAAAAATTATTTACAGCATGTACAGAACACAAAAGCTTCATACCATTCCAGTAACAGGGCATATACACCTCGGCACATCTATATTTCACGACTAACATCACTCCTCCTCCTTTGGTAAGACTTAGTTTGAACGTTTTGAATCGCTAGCTACACAACTTTAATACTGACTATATTACCCGGACAGACTAAGTTGTGATGCTCGTTTGAGGTTGCAGTCTTGAAAATACTCGTAAATTTTTACGAAGATTCGGACAACAGTGCTCAGCCAAACTGAATGCTTTATGTAGGAACGACAATCTTTTAGTTTACATCGTCCGTAGCATTCGCATTAGCCAAGATAAAATGCCAATGGTTTGAGGGGAAATCAGTTTGTGCGTCTGTTTTTCACGACTGAAGTGCCGGTGAGCCGTAGTTTTGGGAGAGAGCTTACACGTTTTTACAGATTTTACACTTTTACAAGTTGTAGCAAATTATATAGCGAATGGGTGAAAGATAAGCACTGAGTTGACGCTTATGTGGCCATGGTAACGCTGTTCACTACGTATTTCTTGTACGATAGCTTATCGTAGTTCATTGGTCTTTCGATATCTTGTGTGGTGAAATTCGTTATCGTTATCCATAATTGTGTCTGAATAAATTATTTGAGTGTATTTATGATAATAAGGGTATTCACGCCTAAATGTTGTCAAATTTTACGATTACATGTCCTCGTGATACTAATAAGTCCTTTAGCGGCGGTATAACATTGCGTAACACCTCCTGCGGTGCCAATGGAACAAATGCAACGCTTAGAACAAAGAAAATAAAGGAAAATTGCAATTTCTTTTATCCTCCTTGGCTTAGAATTGACATTTTTGTTTACTTTTTTCCTTTTTACCCTTTACCCTATTTAGTTATACCTTTTTACCAGACACGGACATAGAATAACGTTAATGTATAGTTGTCTAGATAATTTCCTGTTGTTGTTGAACTAGGAAACATTAGAAATGCCAGCTAGCTGCTTCAATTGTGACGACTAAAATATTTTATCGTACTTCTTACGCTACGTCTCTCGAAATATTTGAAGTGGACAAAAGAAATGTATTTATCAAGGCTTTCCTTGATGAATCACCTCTTTATTTACTTGATTTTCGGAAGGCCCTGCTTCATGCGTTATTTCTTTAAATATTACAAAGCGTTATTTTTTGTGCAATGAATTCTGCATCTGAAGTTTCTGCTAAGTTAGATAGTGCTGGTTCTTCCCAGTTCGCTGGCTAAGATTACCACTGCGCCTTCAAATGAAGCAAAAATATATAGGTACCATGTATAACCTGCTTGTTTCAGCATGCGCACTCCGCTGGTTGTGAGCGCGTATATCCGTTATTCGTTGATGGACCACGTGCACTTCTTATCAAGTGAACAATATAAGATTACACACTTTGAACGCATCGCGCGTCCTTGGCAATCGGTTTCCCTTCTATCTCACTCCGGCCACTACGGTGTCGGCTGACTTATCCGATAAGCGCTGGTGACAATGCATGTCTGTCGTAAGGAGCCACAAAATGCGTGCTTGTGTTCGTCAGAGCCGAGTGAAGGCCTGACACATGTGTAGATATCTCGACTCGCACAACCCTTTGTCTGCTGAGACTTCGATTGCGTCTGTGTTGTTTTACTGATATTTTTGCTAAAGGCGTTTTCTATAGCAATGAAGTAGTTGTTGAGTGTCCTTAAGAGTCTCATAAAATGGATGTGTGCGACTTCTGTATGGTTTCTTGCTATATGAACTTGTTTGATTTTGTTGTACCCGCTACCCACCTGTAAGAATTTATGGCCACATTGTTGATCTCGGGGTTAATGATGATAAAGAGTTAGGGCTGAGCCTCTTGTAATGGGTTGAAAGCAGTCAATGACCCGCTCGTTACGTAATTCACATTGTGTGACACCCCGTTTCTATTTCGCTATTCTAAACCGTTATATCACATAGGTTAACATGAATCCTTCCCCGAATGAAAGCCTCTCGAACAGAATCCGTTTTGCGAAGGAATTTTAAGCACCGGCGGGGCTCTACAATAAAAAAAAACGAAAAGTTTGGTAGAAAAATTTGCGATCGCCGGCGCAGCGTCACACATTGTGTCGAAGAGAATGAACCCGGCACCTCGCAAAGCAGCGTGCAGTGTCCGTCAATGCAGCAGCAAGAAATATTCCTGAATACAAGTTTTATGTCTCACTTGCAGTTCTGGGGTGAACGAAACAATTCACACTACCACTTGCTTGCTTATAGCGCCAGCTGCTGAGAATAAGAAACGGCAGCAGAGGCGGCCTCTGAGAAACGGCATCTGATCTTGGAAATTGTTGTGCATGGTTGAGGCTATGTATCCAGCCAATACACTCGGGCCTTATAGCCCTACCGATGGACTTGAGTATGGCGCTCGAAAACGGTGCGAATAAATCGCGAGCGCCTGCTGTCGAAGCTTCCGAAGAACAAGCTAAGTCAAATACAGGCATCAGTTGGGAACTTTTTGGGTTACCCAGAGCACGGCGATGACTTAATAGATCCGCGGCGGGCGGCAGCCATTTTGGCAGCAGTGACGATGCTGTTACGTAGCGGAAGTCGCTGGCAGCCGTGCGCTGATTCGTTCTCCATTGATCGACTCGCTTCCAGCGTCGTCGCCGACGCTGCAGATATCTAAATCGTCTGCATAGAAGTGGACGTTGCGACCACCATCACCGGTAGCGTGGACGCCAGGTGACGCCGGCGTACGAAACGCCGGGAACACGTCGGCGAAAACGCTGTGCTCAACTATATACAGTTGACGTTGACCCGACGTGACGCCTGTATCATGTAATGTTGGTTAAATTATATAGCCAGCACAGCAACCACGACTGATGTTTCATACGGTCTTTTTCCAACTAAGGTTCGAGACCTGTCGTTGCTCTGTTGGAGAATATTTGATTGCTACACAGAATGCGTTGGTTCGGTTCCTGCTGTGCTCTGATTGTTTGCATTCGTCGGGTCAACGCTGCCGATGTCAGTTTATTTTTTCTCTTTACTCTGGCATTCAGACTATCGATCTCTTTTCTCGCCGTTTTTTGGGTAGATATAATTTGTGAACCACCTGGGGCGCATATGCACATACACGGCCCGTGGTATCAGGGTATGGGCCACACGTGTCTATAAGCAATGGCTTGACGACATACATGACGGGATTTTCACGTTATTCGTGTAATGACCAGCGAGACATACTCGTCAAACACTCTTGCCGTCTTATTAATTTTGGTCTACCCCAAGTTGAGAGACGCAGGGTAGCCGTGATCTGCCGAATTTCGCGATAACCGATGTCCGGTTACTCAAGGCCCTTCAATGTGTCTGTAAGGCATTTTGCACAAGTGAATGCTAATATCAATAAATAAACATCCTGTCTCTTCTGTTTGATGACCTCAGTTCAACGAAATTGTCGGCCGGTATTCGCAATTCTCTCTTATCGTGCAGCACGGCGAGGTTGTTTGGATGTCCTTCATACGACGTTCTTAATTAATCATCGCCATAAAGTGTAGAGAGAGAGAGAGAGAGAGTAAGGTTGAGGAAAGAAAAAGACGCAACTCCTGCAGCCGCCAATCGGGAGCAGCGCTCAGCGCCACAAAGTGTCAATTCGGTCGATCGTTCAAGCGACGTGAGAAGAGCGTCGCGTTTTCTTTCTCACCTTGGGGTCGTGGTTCCCTTGCCCGTAATTCTGTCGCCCTTGGTTTTCCACGAGTATGGTGAGCGTCTCTCCCTCTGACGTCACCACGGGGACGCTGAACACCTTCTCGTCCAAGCTGAGCACGCTGCGCGTCGCCCTCGTCATGACGTAGCCTCTGTCCTTGATGCCCCGCACCGTCAGCACCGAGGGACTCCTGGGCCTGAACGACACCGTTGCGTTGTACACGACGTAGCCGTAGGCCTGTCCAAGTTCCTCGAACGTCAGCGGGTTCTCGGCGTGCACCGTCTTGAGATGGCCCCGTTTCCGGAACGAGTCCATCACTTCCGTCAGCGCCGAGCTCAGCGTCATGGGCACGCTTCCGAGGTTCATCTTGCGCGCAGGGACCGGAACAGGACCCGGCGGAAGCGGAAGGAACTTGGCCGTCGCGTTCCGGATCATGTAGTACAGGTCTGTCGGGTCTCCGGCCTCCGAGAGCGGCGACCCGTGGTCGTAACTCGTTAGCTGCGGCGGCGGTCGATTGCCGTTGGTGAAGCCGTAGTTGGTGCCTCCGTGGAACATGTAGAAGTTGACCGAGCCGTTGTACTTGGCCATGATCTGCTCGAAGGTGTCGATTATCTGCCGCTTGTCAACCTTGTCGTGTATTAACGACCACACGTCCTGCAAGTAGAAAGGTGGCACGTTAAAGGGAAACAGTTTCTTGGCAGGTAAATTAGAAAAACAAATTTCCCAGTGTCGCTAATTTCGCGTCCGTATGCTTATTATTAGATTAAAAAATCTAAGCTCTGCCTTGAAATTTCGCGCCAAAATATCTATAAGTGACCATGAATTTCAATGTGTTTTTTTTTTTTTTGAGGGGGGGGGGCAATTGGCTGAGTGATACTTTCTGGAACTTGGTATGTAGAGTCCGGCCCTCTCGTGGGACAATATACTTCATTTTTACTCATTATGAGCGACGTAGATTCTAGTAAATGCCGTCAGTATTTCTGACGTCATGGCTACTGGTGCGGAAACTTGAAGGTGGCGTCGCCACTAACATCTTCATTGCGCGCGTTTACACTCGAAGCGCCTGCTCTCAGCAATCGTGGAGATTTGGGCATTGTGTAAGTAATTCACTGATTTGTCGAGAAAAAAATTTACTTTTCTCTTTAGGCTTCTTCAAATACTATAGACCCGTTTTCAGAGATTCCTTTCACGCGCATGCGTGTGCTTTACGGTGCAGCAAGTTGAAATCGTGTTTCAAGATGGCCTTTGAATGTATTAAACTACAGATCGCGGGATCCAAGCCAGGCTGCGGTGGCTGCATTTTCGATGGAGGTGAGAATGCTGTAGGCCCGTGTGCTCAGATTTGGGGGCACGTTAGTGAACCCCAGGAGGTCGAAATTGCCGGAGCCCTCCACTACGGCGTCTCTCATATTCATATGGTGGTTTTGAGACGTAAAACCCCAGATACTAATGTATTCAATTGCGATAATGTTTTATTTAATATTTTAGGCGAGCAAATATTTTTATCATCGATTTCCGTCGACGTAGGTCATTTATTTTATTTTTTATTGCTTTCTAGCCATCTTTCTACCTTCCCCTTCTTTCCTCTAAATAATTTGTGTCCTACCAATCTTCTCATCTATGAAGTGGCTGGGAACTTCGCTTTACAATATAAATAAACTGGACAACGTTTAGCGCCAATTTATCATTTTCCGGTGTCGCGTTTGGTTTAAGCTTCGAATTTATTTTAAGCCTAACCGACCAACGATGAAATTAGAAAACTGCAACGCTATTGTTTGACCTTTGACTCACATGAATCTGCACGTGCGTCAAATGAATGTCACTCTGAACGTCTGAATGTCAGCTGAAAAACGTCGGTACCCCAAGAAAGCAATGCGTCCAATTCGGAGTCCTTACTCAGCTAAAATAAAAAAGACAATAAAACAAAAAATGCATCCTTTTCACTACATTAAGGGCGTTTATTGTTGTAATGAGGCAAATAAAGTAGGCTTGTCCGTTTTATTTCGCTGCATTTCTGCTTATTAATTTATTTATTTACTTATTTATTTAACCCTCAGCGTTAGCACAACAAAGTGATGAGGGACATGTTACAGGTGAAAAGTGAAAAAAAAAAAAGAACACCTGATGCATTATATGCATGAAAACATAAAAAACCTTCATTTCTATACAGAAAAGGTTAACTGTCAAATTTGTCAACAGAAAAGGATCTGATGGCGGCAATAAATGTGACATTTTGAATTCTTGTCAGAAAACTGAAAAGAATAAATAACATTGAATCAAATACAGTTATAAAGCATATTCAAGCAATACCAATCATGTTATTAAAGAAAATCGTTTAGACGTGATGTATGTGTGATAGGAGATGATGAAAGAGAATTTCACTTTCTAGGTAGAAACACATGCTAGCATGTTATTGTTGTATAGAGAGGAACACGAACTTTTTGTGAGTGGCCAATGTGAAATACGATACGAAAAGAAAGGATTTAGTAAATCATTTACGAGTTTTATATTTCTGATAATAAATTTTATAAGAGAGAGAAAGAGCCGGTCTATTTAATGCCGGGTGGTAAGTTCTGGAAAGTTAACTGCGTCTTCATCGTGGTTACACTAACCCCAAGTTTATCATTATATATTTTCACGTGGTATTGACGATGAAGGTAAAATGCAACCGGTAAAGTGGAAACACTGTATTGGACGAAACGATTGCCAGGAAAAGCAACGCGTAAAGTGCATCACAAGCGGCAATCACTGTCACCGGTAGTCTGATTATCGGCTGAATGCGTCATCCTCTATAGATCAGTAATCATACCTTACCAGTGACCAGTGTTATCGCTGGTGCTCTCACTAAAGCCCTCGGACAAACTAGACTAACCCCCGTATTCAGAAACGCTCCTCGACTCGAATGCCATCCTTCACTTGACTGAGTTGAGCACTGCGCCGCTGCTCGATTGAAATTGACGCTGCGCTTCTCAAGAATCGCTGCAGATTATTGCTGATATGCAGTGACTTGGTCTGTCTAGAGACGGCGCTCCCATCGGCTTTTTCAAGTCGAGGAGAGTTCTTGAGTGAAGGAGCGTTTGTAAATACGGGGGTAAGGTCGCGTCCTGCGCGCAATGTTAACGGTGCAATCTGTGATGCTTTCGAAGCTTTTCAGGAATTGCTGCGCGGCCCGCACCGTGGGCTGTTCTAACAGTTTTCTGGGTGAATCTTGATCGCAACAAATCAAACAAATGAGAGTGGGGCGGCAATATTTGATTGTACTGTACGTACTTGGGAGGGGGGTCGGAGGTTCCTTAATTATGTAGTGATTGGTGGAACGTCGAACCCCTCTAATTATTATTGTACCTATGATACTGTACCTGCCTTCCACAGTAGTACTCTGTGACGACGAAAGGCCCGTGTGGCTGGGCTCCTTTGACCACCTGGTAGGCGTGTTCAACCGTGCTCTTAGTGGGGCCAAAGTCCGTGGTGACCAGCGTGTGGTCAACGTGGTCGCACTCGTAGGCCTTGTCCCAGGGCGTGTCGGTGCGAAAGAGCACCACGTCGTTGCCCAGATGTTGCTGCAGCTTGTCCACCAGGTGTCGCATGTAGGCCTTGTCGCATGCGTCGTACAGACCATACTCGTTCTCTACCTGGTTCCGCAGAGAAGGCACTTAGTATCACCATCACCATCATCATCATGAACACGCCCACTGCAGAGCAAAGGCCTCTCCCATGATCCGCCAATCAACCTGGTCTTGTGCTTTCTGCTGTCATACAACCCAGTCTGTCATACGTTGCTTTGCAATGAATATTTTTGTATGTATTTCAGAGTTGCCATTCTATTATTTTCTGTCATGGGCCACATGCGTGTTTCTTTTTGTATTGTCGCTTTCTGCTGCCTGTAATTTTTGTATTTTTGTAAATTTGTAGTTTAGATTTTTTTCTGGGTGAAGGGGCCAGTCAAGCTGTGAAGTGCAGCTTTTTTTCCCTTCGCACCAAACCACGTATACAGTGTATTTTCGTTTACTTGTCACGTGGTTAAATAAACTCAAACTCAAACACGTTATACATGCGAGCGTCTTAATCTCATCGGCCCACCTAACTTGCTGTCTCACTTTCTTGCGTTTGCCATCTCTGAGAGTCCAGTCAGTTACCCTTAATGACCAGCAAAGGAAAGTTTATTCTACCAGTATGCACACTTACACACTAAACACTTCGAAATTGCATTAATGTACAATCGCTAGACGTATACTTGGTTTAGAAAAAAAATACAGTCTGTTTAGAAAAAAATAGTTAAGGATCTTGAGTACTTGGTACTCTAGCATGGGAGAGCATAAAGGCCTCCCGTGGGCCTCACACTTCACAAAATACAGTGCGTTTCGAAAAATAGGCCTTTTCCTGTTAAGTAGCCTGCGCACGTACCCCGGCCTCCAGGAGGCATGCGCCATGATTTTTGATGGCCAAAACATGACGACACGCGTGGACCAAGTGACGTCTGGTGCCAAAAATATGCAAATGTTTTCCTCGAAGAGAGGCGTGAAGGCAGGCCTCAGAGATTGCAAGCCGCCTTGCGGTGGTCAATTTCGCAGTCTAAGAGCCACCAGTTTTGATTTCGGTGATCTCCACTTGGGGTGCTGTTCGGAATAAGAAAAGGCCCATTGTGTAACGATTTAGGGTACTTTGTACTCTACTGTGAGAGAGCATTAAGCCGTCCCTTCAGCTTCACATTAGGTGTGTTAAGAAAAAGTGGTTAACGATTTTGAGTACTTGGTATTACGGGAGGGCATAGAACCGTCTTGTGGACCTCACAGCACCATTTGCAACTTGTGGACCACACCTTCGAAGGAGTTTAAGAGTATTTTATTTCCAGGTATATCTTACATAGCTTATGTGCACACAGAAAAATGAACAATGATGATCATGCGTATGTACAGTGCAAGCTGCTATATACAGCGAATATAACTTATTTGTGTATGCAGTGATGTGCAATGCAAAAATTGTACAAGTACAGGACATTCATGAACATTGAGATGATTGAACTTATATTAACAGTAGGGCTATATGCACAAACAAGGAGGTCATTCATAGTGCGAGGTGATGTTTTTGCATCCACCTCTGAGGACAGCTTGTTCTCATGGTCAAGAACAATGTTTCACAAAACAGACATGTTTCTAATGAAGTGAAGGAGAATTCACACTGTAATTTCACAGTGGTACAAGCTCTAGCCCACCTCCTCAAGAAGGAGTTCATCGATTTGTTACTTTCATGAAAGTGGCTCGCTTGTTCTTCTAAATAGCGCCTACATGATTACCAAACCAGAACCCCTGGATGGTGCGAGTGTTGCCTCATGCTGCCGAGCAAACACGCGAATACTCATCACAAAAAAAAGCCCAAAAGAGGTGAAACCATAATGAAATTTCTCATCCTCGAAAATATTTTTAGATATAATGAAACATGTCACTCAAATTCGAAGGAATTGATTGATTGATATGTGGGGTTTAACGTCCCAAAACCACCATATGATTATGAGAGACGCCGTAGTGGAGGGCTCCGGAAATTTCGACCACCGGGGGTTCTTTAACGTGCACCCAAATCTGAGCACACGGGCCTACAACATTTCCGCCTCCATCGGAAACGCAGCCGCCGGGATTCGAACCCGCGACCTGCGGGTCAGCAGCCGAGTACCTTAGCCACTAGATCACCGCGGCGGGACTCAAATTCGAAGGAAATTTTAAAAAAAATCGGCCCATGATTGTGTACATAGGAGATATGCGCAATTATAAACGGATCCACATGGTTACTTTTGTAACAGTGTTTCCAAGGTAGTCTTCCAATTCACGTCAGCGGACGCATGACTATCGTTACTTGCCGATACTTCCAACTTATGTTGGAATTCGACACTTACTTAAGTAGTCAGCGCCATCGACAAACATGCTAGTTGGGAAGGACAAACGTGCATTGGGGAACGTGATGATCACTAAAATCATTCCATATGTTGGAAAAACTCTAATAAGCCTAAAACACTACGCGACAAGTGACTGGAACGCTCTACAATCTATACGGCAAAAAAAAAGAAAGATAAGCCCAATGCCATTGTTATAAGCAAAACTGGCCACTCTGGACGGTGTACTCGATCGTCCAACTTGTTTACACAATGCATCTGTGAGATCGCTTCACCTGTTTTCAACGCAAAAACCTCAGGTGACCATCGGCGGCTAGATGAGTGATGAAAGAAACGATCACGTTATGTGTCACTCTATGACCTTGTCGTGACGTTCGGAGTTAAAAAATTTTTTGCCTACGTGACGTCATTACCTGAGATTCTCACTTGGTCACAGGTGGGCCAATCCTGGAGGTACTGCGAAACGATGTGAGTTGCAGGAAGCTGCCAATACATCAGATGACGGGGGCATACTAAAACAACGGCTGCAGAAAATTTTTGTGTATGGGGTGGGGGGGGGGGAGTTTGGGGGGGGGGGGGGCGAGCTCATTTTTGAACAGGTTACAGTGCAAGTGGGGACGAGGGTGCAGACCAAAAAATGTGGCGACACGAGCACTCTGCTTTGTCACATTCTTTGTCTGCGTCCTCGTCCTTTGTTGCTGTAAGCTGATAAAAAAAAAAGAACTATCACCATCTCGCCCTGATTTCCGTTCTTGTTCGGGGGAAAATATTAATGCATTTGACCGGCAGAAAAAAAAAAGGTGTCTTTCACCCTCTATTCGATTGAGGCATTGCGGACCGAGCATTGGTGATCGAAGAGTTAGAACATATTATTTTACGTTTCATTAAACTAATGGCCTTGTTTCCCAATAGTGGAATTTTGTGTTCCACTATTTGGCGCACTATATTCGACTATATTTGTCCCGTAGTAGACAAATACATCGCGAATATATAGTGAAGTTCTTGGGTTTTAGGTGCAGACACCATGAGGCAAACACGCAGCACATCTAATACTCTGAAATAATTTAGATCACCTGTGGTTCATTAGCGCGCAACTGAATGTAAGCACACTGATGGTACGGCCTTTCACTCTCATCGGTATGTGGATCTCATGGCCGGGCATTGAACCCACGACACGATACTTGATTGCGTAACAGCCATAGGCACTATAATACACTTCTGCAGCTCTTCTTTGTTATTAAACAAGTAACCAACGACCATTTACGTTCACAATGTGAAGGGGCCACTCAGAAGGCAGATAGAATTTTTTTCGGTCGGAAGAGGGGGGGGGGGGGTGCACCACCTTCATCTGAAAAGGAGGCCGAGCAGGCAGATGTGGTTCAGTGTCATTTTGAGCTCTGTATACCACCGCAAAATAATAAATATTATGTAAATGGGGGGCAGGGAGGGCAGGGGTGACCGGGGGGGGGGGGGGGGGGCATGGGCTTGCTGTGCCACCTAACGGATACACCACTGAGGCCACGTTAGCAGCAGTTTTTCGCACTAACAACAAATCCGCTTTCATCGTATAATTTTCTAATTAATCGTAATGCAACTGTTCAACAAAACGTGGGTGGTATACGGTCATTATCAGGAAAATCTTGTCTGCCTTTAGCTGTACTTACCCTTGATAAGTAATATTTTACAGCATTAATTGAAATAAATGAAGTCATTTTATCTCACCTGAACGGTGATGATGGGTCCTCCGTTCTTGTACAAGTACGGCACCAGCATGGGCAAAAGGTGGTCGAACCAGCGGTTCACCGCATCCAAGTACGTCTTGTCCGAAGTCCTGTATTTCATCCTCGGGTTGACCCTCAGCAACCAATACGGAAGACCGCCGTTGTCCCGCTCGCCACAGATGTAAGGACCGGGCCTCAGGATCACGTACAGGCTGAGGTCTTTGGCTATCTCCAAGAAGGTCAAAAGGTCGTAGTTACCCTCGAAGTTGAACTCTCCCGGTTCCGGTTCGTGGCCGCTCCATTCGACGTACGTCTGGATCGCGTTCAGGCCAGCCATCTTCATCTTGGTGAGACGGTCGTTCCAGTAAGGCTTCGGGATTCGGAAGTAGTGGATGGAACCGGAAACGTACCGGAACGGTGAGCCGTCCTTGAGGAAGCGGTCGTTCTCGTAGTCCACCACGAAGGAGCGGTTGAAGTTGACCTGCTCTGCACGGACTCTCGTCAACAGGAGACAGCATGCCGTCGCTGCCGCGAATAACGCGCGCGACATAAACGTTCCGTCGATCCTGTTCATTTTTTTCGTTATTGAATGGCTTATTACGAACACTGACTGAGATAAAGCATAACTCCACACGAGTGCTTATTGTACTTGAGCCTCTGGCATCTATGGGATAACTAAAGGTTCGAGAAAGCATTCGCGCTTTTTATGCCCCGTACTTATCTCCTCGCTGATATCGGTTACGGACACAGTTCAGAAGCTCGTACAACGTGCCTCAATCCGCGCCTGTTTGTCTGTGCTTACGTGTGCGTTGGGCTTCTTCGTATGTGCGTGTTGTGCGTGTGTGTGAAAGAAAGAGAGTCATTGCTGTCAATCCAACGTTTAGTCTTTGTTCCAGGATGATCTCATGCTATTTTTTTTTCTAATGAGTGCCATGCGCAGCGCGCTAGCTGCAACCTTATAAGTTTTCGTGTTCGCAAAAGAAAATGTGTACGTGTACTACCTGCAGTTGTATGCATAATCGTTTCTTTTTTGTCCCTTTAAAGCTGACCTGTACATTTTTGTTCATATTCTATTGAACCGACCACTAGCCACTCGAGGCTATCGGTCCAAATGTTCCTTGTTTTTTATTCTTTTAAAAATGTTTCCTTGATTGATTGATTCATTGATTGATCGATTGATAGATCGATCTAGCACTTATCTAGGCGGTTGGCATCGTCCGCCCTTGTCTCATGCGAAGGGCAGTCTGCCTCGTTAATACTACGGTTACTGTTTTCGGGTGCTGACGTGAACGTCACGGCTGCGTTGAGTGCTCTCGTGTGTGTGTGTGTGTGTGTGTGTGTGTGTGTGTGTGCGTGTGTGTGTGTGTGTGTGCGTGCGTGCGTGTGTGTGTGTGTGTGTGTGTGTGTGTGTGTGAGAGAGAGAGAGAGAGAGAAAGAGAGAGAGATACTAGCGCATCTTCATGGTACAGCCTTTGTTTCCCGGGGTGAGCTCATGATATCACACTTTTTTCAGGCTTTTTACAATCGAATGCCCTTTCTCTTGTTAAGTGCAGTCCGCCTCCGTGATACATCGGTTATTGTGCTCGAGCGCTGACCCAGAGGTCGTGGTTGCGATACCGCCCACCGTGGTCGCATTTAGATGGAGGAGGAACGTCGGAGGTCCGTGTACTGTGTTGTGCTTGTGCACGTTAAAAAAAAACATTGTATTGCACAAATTTTCACGACGCTTTTTGACCACGTGAAAATGTCCCTTAATCAAAGCATCGTGTGGCGTCACGTTCTGGTGCGCCATGGGGAAGTCATGGGAATGTCGTGATGACGAACTAAATTGGTCATATTACATGACGTCACGTTACATGGCGCCGCAGCGAAGCCCTGATAAACGTCACAATGACGAGCCAAAATCTCAGTTATTTGTGACGTCACATGCAGACGTCATAACGTGATAAGTTTATGCGTGACTCGTGTAGACGCCGCCGGAGGTCAAGTTTCGCGTTTGACGATTCATGCTAGGCTTTCGCCATAATGAACGAATAACCAATGGTCGGCATTGTCGATGCGAATGCGTCATATACCTAATGAAACAGGAAAAGTGGAAAGCTTAGGCGCTAGCCATCTATGGCTAGAAAATTCAAGATACGAAGTCATGACGGCGCATTGTTGTTTGCGTCGCGATTACAAATTAAATGGACCCACGTTCACAAACTAACTTGGGCCACTTCCTAAAATTGAATCGGCATTTCCTCAGAATTGAACTGATCCAAGTGCACGTATTGAGTTCTTGCCTACACTGAGGTACTGCGCATCTGTAGGCTTTCCGCGTGCACGATAGAGGCGGAGTGGTCGTCGGATATTCAAGCTCTCTCACGGACGTCCTCTTCATTATTGTGAACGCGTCCTCCCAAGATGTACTTGGGTCCCCGTAGCACAGTTCTGAAGACAGTGTTACTGTACTGTCACCATTCGCTATCAATAGTGATTCCAAATGCTAGGGTCCAGTGTCCTTGGATTGAGGCGCCAATTAAAGAACTCTTAGGCCTAGGCATCGAAACTTCTGGAACCTTCCACTACGGCGTATCTTGCAATCACATCTTGGTTTTGGCTCGTAATTATCTTACTATAATATTGTTATTATTATTATTATTATTAGTAGTAGTAGTAGTAGTAGTTGTTGTTGTTGTAGTAGTAGTAGTAGTAGTAGTAGTAGTAGTAGTAGTAGTAGTAGTAGTAGTAGTAGTAGTAGTAGTAGTAGTGGCAGCAGCATATTCATCATGATTTCAGCGATTATACCCACTCCATGCCGAGAACAGCCTCAGTTTTCCTGCATAATATTTTTTTCTCTCTCTACTATCCTGCGGAGTATCTCTCCCCAATCTAGAAACATTAAAATTAACGAATGATATCATTCCTCTCGTCACGTGACGTCATCCAGTGACGGACTATAGTGCACCGCGTCCTCGGGATGAGCTCGTCCGATTACCGACCGAGACGCGGGCGCTGCCACGGAAGTGTTCTTGCTCGAGCATCGAGTCAGCGTGGGCTCACGGTGTTAGCCCCGCCATAATGGATCGCGGCTTTTCTCCGTGATGAACGACTCACGTCTCGGCTTATAAAGGCAGTTTGTTTTGCGCCTTCGCTCGGGCAACAGAGGGCGGCGCGGTGGCCCCGTCTCTCGCTTCCCTTCAGGAAGCTTGTCGAGTCCCCCGAGGACATGCAACGTCTTGTCCGGTGCCGAACGTACGGTACAACGAAGAGCCTAGCCAGACCGAGCAAGCTTAGCGCCCTTGCAATGGTTTCTTCCCTCTTTATTTCTTCTTATGGGTGTCCCGAGCCACGGAGCACACCTGAGGCTCTGCGTGTAATCGTCGCTGGACATATTTCTTCGTGTGTTGCGCCTCTCCTATCGCTTATCGACCCTGTATGATCGGTGAGCTGTACAGTGGGCACTCATTTCCGCCAACTGTGGCAGAGAGCTGTAGTGTTGCTCTGTTGTTGCGCTTGTCGTTATACGGCGCGGATATTGTAAGCGTGGCAAAATTGGTGCAGTACGCCATTAATAACGGAGCAGTCGTAGTGGCTCAACATTATACAGGTAGGGTTATTGGCCTGAGTAAAACATGAGATCATGATTTTTTTTTTGTTACTGTTGTCAATATATGCTTATATTGGCGTCCGTCAGTGTCTGTGTTAACGGACGAAGTATACTCTGGTCTACGTTTCACGTATTCATCGTTTATTATTCTTTTTATATTTTTTTCCTTTCTCCGGAACTACCAAAATACTTAACGAGTTGTCAAATGCTTTGCGCTGCAGGAAGTATGGGCCGTGTTCGTACGAACATTTATTGAGCTTTGCGTCAGCATGTCTCGACGTGATGCGCCACATAACGTAATATCAAAATTTGTTCAGCCCGAGGGGAAGTAAGTGGGATTGTTGCTTCTGTGGCAGACAAGACAGGGTGCTATCGTTAGCCCATCAGAGTCATGTGGTCACGTTGCCTAGTGTGAAGTTGTAGTGGCGTGATGACGTCAGATTTTGGCTGCTTGTGACGTCATATGGTGACGTTATCACAGGATGTTCTTTGGCAATACTAGCGCTGGCGCTGATGTTATTTCGTCTAGTTTGATGAGCCGTCAAGTCTAAGGCTTGCACTTGTCACACTCTCAACAGAGTGTCAACATAAACTGCTGTGCGCGACAAGGTGCAGGTGCCGTAACTCGTGCCATTGCCTTGCTACGCCGCGTTCCGTTGAGGTATGGCTCACGGAGAAGGAGAAGGAAGCCGAGTTGAAAAGAGAAAGAAAACAAAGAAACAGGGGACAACGCGTCTGAACCCCCGCGTTTCCCATTACAGCGTCAGATATATGCCGGTCTTTTAATTGCCCCAGGAAAGTTGCGGGCTCCACTGATGGGCAGGGAGATCGGGGAGTACACCGCGCTGCCCTCTGGCGACTAACGAACACCGCTGGGGGACCCAGTTGACACACCGGCAAATGGAAAGGGCCCCAGAGACTCAAGTCAGGAGGATTCGGATAGTAACATGAGGGAGCTTACAGATACTCTGGAAGAGAGCGGACACTGCCGTATGCACTCGAATAAGAGCCGTACTAGCGTGGCAGTTCACAACAGCAAATTGGCAGTCCAGGTTACAACAACAAAAAACAACAACAAAATGATGCCGCAGAAATCGTCTAATCATGATTTCTGCAGTCGTTGCGAATATAGTTGTCGTTCTTGAAGCGCTGCTGAGAATACACTTCACCTACGTTCTTTTTGCCGACCGCAAAGGTAGCGGGATCGAATCCCAGCCGCGGCGGCCGCGTTTAGATGCAAGCGAAACGATAAAGGCCCGTGTGCTAACATTTATATGCACTTTAAAGAAACACCAAGCGGGGTTCCGAAATTCCGGGGCCGTCCATGCACCACGGCATCTCTCACAATCTTATCATAGTTTTGGGCCGTTATACCACGGAAAACATTATTATCGCCTACCTTCCGTTGTAGGGCGACCTTACAACACTACGCCCGCGTTGTGAAAACTCGCCAACGCGCTGGAGTTGCAGACGCGCGAAGGTGCGTTAAAACACTTCTCCGAAGTAATGTTTTCCCATCGAAGTTCTTCAACGTCCAATTAAATCCAAGTATACTTCCGGTATCGGGAGTTGAAGAGGTGCCCTCTAATCTATTAACTCAGCACCTCAAAAGGCGTTGCCCACTACGCCGCTTCTGTGGGAGCAGCTTGTGAATGCCACTACAGAAAAGAATAAGCGCGGCTTTTAAGCGAGTGTGTACGGTGTGTATCCGGGCCTCTTGCAAAAAAAACCTCATCTGCAACGCCCTCTGGAAGTGGCCTGCTCTTTTCTGCGGTGCATTCCAAATGATTTCTTTCCTCCATGAGTGATCGTGTGCGCGTCTACGAGTGTTGCATTCCCTGACACCCCCTTCTGTGCGTGCATGCTCCCTCCGTGTAACGAACGAAATTTGAATTATCCCTGGAGTCGGGGGCAGTTCATTCGTTCTTCGTTTGCCCAGTTCAACCTTTGACGTGTCGCTCGATTGAAACTTATATCG